AAATCTGTCGCAAATTCCAAAAATAAATAACTTTAATTTAAAAATAAATAAAATTAATATTTGCGACAGAAATTTCTGTCGCAAATCCGCAATTTTAAAATTTCTGTCGCAAATAATGTTTGGTTCTGCGACGACAACATTTCCGTCGTATTCCGTCGCCGGATTTTGCGACTAATTGCGACAGAATAAAATTTTTTGCATTCCGTCGCAAATTCGTCGAATTCTGTCGTAATTTCTTTGCGACGGAAAAATTCCGTCGCAAATTCCGTCGCTATATTAAGATTTTCTTGTAGTGCTCTTTTCTCAGGCCAAGACCGTAGGAATAAAAAGCTTTTCCTTCTTTTAGATTTGAGGAAAAAATGGGAAAGGAGCGAATCAAGAAATATCGTAAGAGATGGTCTGAGATCACCTGCGCTTGGACCCCATCTGTCTAAGACCAATATAGCTTCAAGGGCTGGCAGCAGAGGGCTGCCTCGCAGGCAGCAAGAAGCTCCTTCATTCCTAACCCAGCTTATGAACCGGAAGGACAAGTTATGCTTCTCCTGCTCTTGCTGAACCTTTTAGTTAGATCTAATGAAAGACGAGAGATCCCGGGAAAGCGATTTTCGGGCGTAGACCCGGTGGGTCAACTTACGCGTAGAGCCGAAAAGGTACTTCCTCCTCAACGAAGAAATGGTAATGGTGATTATATATGACGGTGGAGGATGGCAATGTCGGAGGAGGATGAGGACGATGAAAAGTAAGATCTCGATGTCGGAAGCAGCGAATATGTCTGGGATTTTTTTTTTCAATTTTCCTTCAAATCTCTTATTGTTGTTCGACATTTAGGCTTTCGATTTCTCTTTTTCGAGATTAAGGATTTTTTTTTGTTTCGGACTAGTTTAATAAACTGATAAACTGGGTTATATCAGTTTTCGTTTCTAACAAACCGCTGACGTGTCAATTTTTTAATTAAAACCGATGATGTATATGTCTTGACATTAACAATCCGGCAATACGTAGACTTCTGAAAATTTGGTCAAAATAGTCAACGGTTTATTAGACCACCAATTTGCATGTTCGAGATTTTTTTCAGTTATAAATTGCAAGTCTAGATATTAAATGAAGTTTTTCAAGTTCACGGTTTTTTCTACATTTTAGCAAGTTCGAGGTTTATATGAGATTTTACCCTAGTTTATTTGTGATATCACAAAATATGATGAGGTCGAGAGTGATCGTTGATATCGCAAATCTAGGTATAAAAATATTAATCAAGTGATAATTAACCTAGACTCAACAAATATCGCAAGTATACGGATTGTGTGTAGTAACTAGGGTCGAACACAGAGACACAAGTAGATAAAGAAACCAAATCCAAATCCAAGACCAAATCCATAAGAAATAATATTGGTGTGAAGACGTAGCAAAGCAAACAGTAAAAACGGTTGTAAACTATGAATGATGAACAATGCAGACTTCGAGATTGCTTTACATGCAATGATCTTTCAAAAGATGCAAACTCAGTGGTCTATTTATCCAATTCAGGGAATTCAAGCTCTAAAGTAGAGATTAACCCTCTCGAATCTAACCTCATTATCTAGGTTTTATCCTACTAATCTCTCGATACAATAGTCTAAAACCCTGGATACATAAACGGGCGATATCATAATCCCTAGACAAATATTCATCTCTCGATACAATACTTGTTCTATTTATTGAATTATTTTCAGGTTATAATCTTATATCTCTATGCGAATTAAAACTCTAAGTGCATTCAATCAAGTGGTCAACAAGATCAAACGCATTAAGAGCAATTCAATAAACTGAATAGGATAAATAAATTCACAAAGTCTGAAATTAAAAACCAAATATCCCTACGTATCAAATCTCTAACCTACAGCAAATGAACTACTCGCTAAACATCAAAATGACAGGGTTCATACCAATACAGCAAAACATCGTAAAATATAATAGGTAAGAAACTCTTAGTCGATTTCTCGACTTCGCGATCTCCGTCTTCTACTTCAATCTCTTGCTTTTTGATAATCTCCCTCTTTTCTGTACTCTAGATCTTCTCTGTGAAAGTCTGAATGAATCCCTTGACCTGGAGGCTAAACCTAATTAATTCTTCTTTTCTGAGCAAAATTGGAAATATTCCCAAAAAATCATTTAAGTGACACGATCGTGTGGTTCTGTCATGACCCGATCGTGTGAGGTGTTTATTGCAAAGTCTGGATTTTTGCGAACTGACCTGATCATGTGGCTGAGAAATGATATGATCGGGTTAGCCTTGATACAGTTCTTGTCTTCCTGATGTCGTGAGCCGATCGTGTCGCTGAGAAATGACACGATCGGGTGTACCATGGAAACTCGTCCTTTTCGGGATTTTCGCCCTTTCTTCGCTCATATCGCTTGTACTTGCAACCATTTATGAATAAAGCAAAAATTAAAACTAAACACGCACTTAAACGTCTCAAATGATACAAAACCGAGTAAATATATATGTTAGACGAATCATATGAAAATCCATGTATATTGTGTGTTATCAATCGTTCTGGTGGCTCTCCGAGTACCACTAGAGCAGAAGGATATAAGAATGAATCAAACACATTGGAAGAGATAGATCCAAAGACTATATAGATATGAAACTATATGATCTAACATAATTCAAAAGAATTGATTGGGCTACTTATACCAATAAGTGCACTTATCTTTTCGATTGACTAATTCGAAAGAACTCCAAAGTTAAGCATGTTCGCAATCTAACAAGTTACCTACTAGGATTCTCGATATACGTACGAATAAAGACAAAACACGTCGAAAGATCTCATGTTGGTGTGTGATACCAATTTCAAAGTTTCTCAACAATCTCCCATCGTCATAATTTTTCTTATGATACATTTTAATTTTAATGTTTATAAAAAATATAATTTAATTAGAAAAATAGAAAAAAAAATGGTGTTAACATTATAAATTACAATTTTAAATATAATTTTAATTAAAGCTAAATATAGACAATTTTCTAGATGTTTTTTTTAGAAAATAATGGTTTTTGGTTTTATAAATAATTAAGATTTTAATTGGTTCTTTTTTAAAAGTTTATGGGTTTTATAGTACTTAGATACTCACAAATTTTTTATATTCTTATATTTAACGTGTTGTAGTAAGAAGATGAATATCACGTTCTTGGGATAAAATATTGAAATAGGAAGATGAATATGCGATTGAAGAAAAATATAGACTTTGAGATATTATTTTCAATAATAAGGAACACAATATTATATTAAATATATTTGTTTCTTTTACTTTTATATTTGTTAATTTTTATATAAATATGTGAGTTATTTTTATTGTAAGTTAACAAGAAGAAGAATAGATGTAACAATAAAAATAATTCCTTTCTTTTTTATTTGTTTTTCTTTCTTATTTAATTTCTGCAATTTTGTATTTTTACGTGGTATCAGAGTGGTTCGATCTATTCTATATCTTTTTTTTTTCAATCTCTTTTTTTTTAGTTTTGGATGTTCATATATCCAAATCGTTCAAAGAGGAATAAAAAACCAAAATCAAACGAGATGTTGTGACAAAAAAAAAGTCAAATCTAAAAACTATAAGATCAAGCAAAGTGGTATGACAAAAAGAGTTAAAGTTCTAACTTCTAAGTGAAGCCAAGTGATTTAAAAATGAGTAATACTCTCTAAAAGAACTAAATTTGGTGTTTAAGGATTTTTCAAAAGACAATAAAAATATCTATGGGTTTTTCTCGCATTATCTTTTCAAGATTGATTTTTGCATTCTTTCAAAATCGATATTGAGGGGGAATATTGAAATTAAAAAATGAATATGTGATTGAAGGAAAATATAGATTTTGAGATATTATTTTCAATAATAAGAAACACAATATTATGTTAAGTATTGTGCATCATATTTGTTTCTTTTACTTTTATATTTCCTTTTTATTTTATTTGTTAATTTTTCTATAAATATATGAGTTATTTTCATTGTAACGTAATAAGAAGAAGAAGAAGAGATGTAGCAATAAAAGTATTGGGGGAATATCGATTCTGATACCATTTGTAATAATCCGAGGCCGCTATGGAATATCAAAGTTGTCCCCATATACCAACACGAGATCTTTTAGCGTGTTTTGTCCTCACTCGCACATATCTCGGAAAGTATTTCCCATGAGGTCACCCATTATAACACTACTCCAAAGCGAGCACGCTTAACTTTGGAGTTCTCTCGAGATGATTAACCGAAAATGTAGATGCATCTTGTTGGTATGAGTAGCTTAATCAATTCCTTTAAGTTATCTATGATTGTGTAATCTCACACATGCACAAGCCTCGGATCTCTCTCATTCTGGTGGATTCGATTCATCCCTGTACCCTTTACCCCAAAAGCTCGTCAGGAGTCGCTCTTTATCTGTGCCTCTCGCACCGACGACCACTCTCCGTCCTCTTACGGTATTCGGGTTGTCACAACTTGGCCTCTAGTTTGAGAAGAATTTTACTCTGAAAGCTGCTCGGGCTGAGCAGTTTTGTGCTCGATCGAGCAGTCCATGGTCAAATGAAGTTAATTTTACTCCGAAAATGTACTTAGAAAAGTATGGACTTGGTATAGGACAAGTAATATAAGAAATTTGTGAGCATATGAGTAGACATGAAAATATAGGAAATTTAGATTGTTCTTGTCAAGGCAGGGCTATGAATCATGGGGTATGAAGATGGAAATGTTGATATTGAGATATCTTTTGGACGTTGTCGAAAATGACATTCCATCATAACCATCGGACACTGCATAAAATCTGACAAAAAATCAAGACACGAAACTCTGAGAGTTCTTACATTTGTTTCAGAATAAGTCGTTCTCCTCAATCAACCTTCTCGACCCTCCTCTTTCGGCCCATACGACCCTAGGGCTTACTCGGGCCGAACAATTTTACTCCATACGTGTATGTGTCACTTACCACGTACAAATACAATTTTTTCCTATTTTTAAGGGATTAAGTTGACATTTAATAACTGATTCTAATTTTTTAGTATGTCGCAGAAATTAATTCGACCATTTCCAAGTGATGTCAACGAAAACGAAAACGAAAACATCAGCATCGACTTGATCCAACTAGTGTATTTGAGTAAAATTCCCTTTTGGAATAAAAATAACAAAAGCATGCTTTCTCGATTTTTATTTCTTTCAACCCTTATCCATGATCTTTCGGATTTTTGCTTTTAAAACAGACTGTGTTTTGATCCAGCGAAAAAATTCAGCGCAGATAGGAGAAAAAGGTACCTGCACAGTTCGGAACAGCCAGTCCCATAGGACATGCGGAAGCAGAAGGGAGAGGCACGGAAGATGGATTAGCCTTTCATCCAGCAAGAGACGTTGGAACTGCACCTTGTGTACGCTGAAATGGCTGCAAAACGTTTGCTCAGAATGGAACATAGAAACTTGTAATTCCATATAACTTTTAAATGGAACTTCTCCAAACAACATCTTACACCATGAGCAGGCAATGGGGGAAATTCTACTGGCTTTGGAACAGTACCCATTACGGGATTCGCGACAAGAGATGGAGAACGCGTGCCATTTGGTAGGCTGCAAGTACGGTCCAAAAATAGAGATTCGATGTCAGGATTCGGCCTCGGATTGTTATGGAACTGATGCTGCCAGTTTAAACTACAACCCATTTCCAATAAATGCCAAACATGTTATCATTAGAGAAGAGCATAAACAAAGAACAGCACAGAAGCTAGAAACAAAAGGAGAGAGACATTGTGATGCAACTTCGGTTTATCAAAGTCCGCGACTTGGAATTCTTTAGAGCAGGAAACTGAAGTTTCTCATGAAAGAGTGGAATGTCTCTTTAATTCGCCAAGCATAATACCTTTATTAATTCTGAAAATACCCAATTAAAATAAAAAAGAATCAAGAACTACATGAAAAGAAATTAAGAACAACAGATGAAAAGAAAATATCGAATTGCCTGATAGAGATAAAATTCTTTCAAAAATCCCAAGAATGAACGGCAAAAGTCGGAGAGATGACCCAAAAAGAAGAGATCGTAGTCACAAAAGAATTCTAAAGAGATAAGAATAGATGGAGACAGTTTTCAATCGAATCACAAACGACTAAAGAGAAACAGAGGAGGCAAATCATCAACCAACTGATGTGCAAAACAAACTGTCTACCAAAATTTATCATACAATACGAAACCAAACCCAAACGTCCACACCAAATGATTCTACTGAAACAGTAAAAAATGGCGAAGAGAAGTCGATACCAGATCAGGGTTGGATTCTGTCCGGTCCAAAAACTATTTCCGGCATCAAGAAAGAGAAGATATGATCTACAGAGCCTGAATCAGGGGTTCATAAGAATAGAACCGGAAGCCTTGTTTCCACTTCCGACACGCAGGCTTTTCTTGTCTCCGCGATCGAATCTCCCACGAAGGAAGCTATGTTGTGTCTTGTTCTGAAGTTGAAAGACGGTAAAGGAAGAAAATACGGAATGAGATGAGAGAGACGCTCCTCTGACTTTTTGACCGTTGGAATTCATATTTTCAAATTAATGTTCCCAGGCTTCCTTTTCGGAGAACGCAAAAAACGTTGCTAATTTAAATTGGGCCCCATATTCTGATATATTTCACTTTTAGCCCCATACAATATTGATTTCGCACTTTTGGCACCGTATCTTACACATCTTTTTTCCCGTTTTCCGGAAAAAAAAAATGAGAAATTTAAATATACGTGACGTAATAAATAGAGGGCATTTGAATTGTTAAATATTTTTCCTCGGGAACGTCTAGAACGCAAACATTGAAAACGTCCAGTCGCGGTCTTAATTATTTGCAGACAAGTTGGATTTTTCTTTATTAAACTTTATTTATATAAAAATAATAATACTTCCTCATTAGTTGTCGAAAATATTTTTTGTATCTTAATAAATGCAGTTTTAATTTTTTCATGTGATTTAAAAAAAAAATTCCAATTTTATTCTTAACTAAAAATATTTAACTTCATATTAATTAATAAGAATATGTTTTAACGAAATTATATATGTGATTTTTTTATATATTTTTTAAAAATTATGAAAAGATTTAAAACGAAATGTATTAAAAAACGGAGGGAGTATTAATGACTTCTCTAACATCAATTTTATTCTCTAACATCAATTTTATTACTTGAACTATTTGGACTCTTATGTTTTAATTCAATTCTGTAAATCTTACTTTATAAAATCTATTAATTCAGCTAGTATCCGCTCATGATTAAAACAAATATTTGTACACTTTCTGAAAAATTATATTTATTATATCAAAATTTAATTAAAACAAATATTATCCACATTTGATCTAGATTAATTTTTAATTAAAAATACTTACTCTTAACATAACTATTATGTATATTCAGTTTACTTTATTGATCGTGTAAATTTGACAAATGCATCATAAATATATTCATATATAGTAATTGCTTTCACATCATAAGTCGAGGTATAAACCAATCGGTATATTATATGCATAACTAAACTATGTACATATAGAATGAACTATAAATTAAAATTTCCAGGTTGTTTAGTAACAAAATAGTTTTTACAGTAATATTTTTAAAAATGTTATCTAAAATTATCCGAAATAAATGATAAGATCGAAGACCACACAAGATTGCCATGAGGGCATGAGTGGCAATGACCACCACCTTCCAATATATATTCCAATTATGTAATGTTATATAGTGGAACCAAAAAGCATGTCAACTTTTTTCCTAAAAAGAAAAAAAAATGTCTACTACTCCAAAAAAACAAAATTGCCAATTAATCATGACGCATTATTTTTATTTTTATTTTATTTTTAAAAAAAAAGAAGTTTGGTGGTGGAATTTTTTTGTTTTCCTTTTTTGGCGGGACAGAGAGATTAGAAGAGTAGATTTTATTTTACCAACTTACCAATAACAAGTAAATTAAATCTTATTTTTCCACATTTTCTTATTTTTATTGGTTTATTTTCGTATATCGTGCTTTAATATCGTTCAAATTTATTTCATGTATTCTAATTATACGTATATACACACACTCCAATTACCAATTAAATATTGCAAGTAAGCTATTGTTTTTTTGGTTTATTTAATTTTAATTCGGTTCAAATTTATTCATTTTTTTCGAATTAGAATATATATATATATAATTTGAAAATCTAGAAACTTTTCTTTTTAGGAATAGACTATGAATATGGATTGAAACAAAAATTGTAATAATTTATCTCAATTTTTTTTTAATGAAAAGCTCGAGTTTGATGAAGCAGATAAAATAAGAACTATGTAATATATTTTAAGATAAGTCTTCGTGGATGTACCACTTGACTTTTCAAAACGTCAATTTTTTTATGGTTGGATGACTGACATCACCATATAACTACAACCATAAAATTAAATAAAATTTGTTAAAATGTATTTGTATTATTAATAAAAGTTATAGGAAAATATACGATGAGTATCTATATGATGATGTCATGATCTTTTTACCGGATTGTTAAGTTTCTCATATAAAAATGTGTTTTTTCTAGTCCATAGCAAAAGTACGAATCACTTTTTAACATCGCTGTTTAGTTCCAGAATTTTTGGCTAAAATCTTTTAGTCTACGGTATTTTAGTTTCTTAAGTTATATAATATATATATATATATATATATTCATTTTCTATAGAAATTGTAACCATGTGTATAGTATTGGTGATATTCATAATATCTTGTGTATATTTAATATCTTCCACAATTAGGGAAGTTGTTGTAATTAGGTTATATACACGTGTATAAATATTCAAAACATGCATAATAATAAACTAAACCTTTCAGTTATCCTATCTACAAAACCTTAAAATTATCTATACATAGACTTTCCTGTAATGCCATCGGTAATAAATTTCTTAAAAAAAATTTCAAGAGGTTATTCATGTTAAAAAAACTACTTCAAATCAAATATAGGTGTTGAATTGGAGAAACACTTTCTGAGTTTTTGAATTTTAAAAACTAAAAAAACTCACAATTTTAAAATTTGGTTTTTAAAAACCCGAAAATCTACTTTATAAAAAAAATCAAAAGTTATAATTTTTTAAATTTACAAACTTATGAAATCCAAAAGGCCAAAACCAAAAACTAAAAACTAAAAACCAAAAATTAAAACCAAAAATACAAAATAAAAACCTATGACATTCAAGGTTATAATTAGTTTTGGAGTTCCTTTTAGATAGATAACTGAAAAAATAGATATATCGTATGGATATAAATAATTTATTTAATTTTTTAAAATTATCTTTAATTTTATAATTTCATATCTATATAGTTTTTATATCTATATAATTTTTGTATCTCTCTTATTAGGGCGTGCATTCATCTCATCTGTGTTCATCTAATCTAGTGATCTCTGGAGAGTAATGCATTATTCGTATTTTTTGCACTGATGATCATTCCTCACCTTCAACGTAGACGGTGATATCACAAAAATTATTGAATTTTTTGTTTTGGAAACCAAAATTTAAATTATTAAACTTTTTTCTTTGTGTAATCTTTAAAACAAAAAATTTTATTGCATTTAAAATTTTAAATTTAGAGTTCATTTCAAATTTTATAAATTTAGAATATTTTTTTTCAATAACGACAACATAATTTTGGGAAATAAATTCACCGGAATATAGACTAAACAAATTAACATATGATATGTTAACCTAATGAGACCGTATCAAACATATATATGACAAAGAAAAAATGGAAATAAAAAAGGAATTATATTTGACATTGTGATTATTCGGTTGAAAGCGATTACCGGATTGGCTCCTCGAATACCATTAGATCATAGAGATACGAGAATGAATCGAACGCACCGAAATAAAAAAGATGCGAGAGCTGTATAAATATAAAATTGTACGGTCTAAAATAACTTAAAAGAATTAGTTGAACTATTTATAGCAACAGAGTGTACCTATTTTTTCGGTTGACTATTATGAAGGAATTCTAAAATTAATCGTGATAGTGTTTGGAGTAATGTAAAAAAGAAATCTATTGGAAAATGTTTCGGTATGTGTGTGAGTGATGACGAAACATGCTAAAACATCTTCGTCGATGTGTGAGGACAGTTTTAACATTCGTAGCCACCGCGGATCATTATGGACATACATGGAATAATCTCTAATATTTAAGCATAATTCACCTAAAACAGTGTTAACTCATTTTATTGCTATCTAAAATATCTTAATTTTAAAATAATAAAAGAAACTTCAATAGCGGAGGCTTCAGTTCAGAGGCTTCCCGTCTTTGCATTAATCATTATCGGTGTGATGATTTCTCGTCTCGTTTTACTCGTTCTCGCATTGGTCGTTTTCGTCTCCTTCGTCGTATTCTTTTTTTTGAGTGACCGACTGTCCCGGGGCCAGGCTCATCTCGTGGCCGGGATACTTTCGTCGTATTCTTCCCTCGTCTTCTATATTCTATTTTTTTTAATGGTATTATGATGTTTTACTAGGTATGATGATATGGCACAATAATATCACGCCATATAATTTGCAATTATTTTTTTTATATAAAAAAAATGCTCATATAGCCATTGAGACACGATGGTATCTCGTGACATCCTACCGTACAAACAAAATATTCGTTGAACTTTTTTTTTCAATTTTTTTTATAGGATAATCATATAAACAAAAAATTTTTATTGAAAAATTTCAGTTCGTATAGAATTTAAATATTATTATTGTATTTCTTATTTTGATTTGAGTTTTTCTATTTTTTTTAATTACCAAAAAAAAAAAGACATAAAAAATCGAATACTTTCATATTTTGTGAGAAGTTTTACTAAGAAAGTGGCTTTCAAACAAAAAATGTGTCGAATATTTACAAACAAGTTTTTTTTGTTTTGTTTTTACACCGTACAAAAGTGCCCATACAATAAATATGACAGTAAATACATATAATAAAATAAAAATGGAGGAGGAATCAAAGAGCAACTTGCCCAAACAACGTGCGTTCTTCTTCCACAGGTGACAGAGACTCCACGGAATCTGTTCTCTCTCTCTCTCTCTCTCTCTCTCTCTCTCTCTCTCTTCCGTTTATTTTGTTCTCTTGTTTTTGCCTCTAATGGAGAATTATTAATAACTTCATAGAGAGAGCGAGAGGAGAGAGAGAAGGGAAACAAATCCATGGCGGCTCGAAGATGCTCTGCTTCCATGTTAACGCTCTTATCGATTTCCCTTCTTCTTTGCACCCTTGTTTTCATCGCCATAAACCATAATTTCTTCGCCAGTTACAGAACCCGAAGGGACCATTTCTCCTCTGTCTCCGTCTCATCTTCCCCTCTGTTTCTCCTGAAACAGAGCAACTCAAGTGATTTTGTTCTGTCTCCCTCTGCAGCGTCCCATGGAGATCACTCTGTTTCTACTGATCAGAAACAGAGCAACACGACAGCCTCCCATGGCGACTCCTCCATCTCCGAGCTTCAGAACCAGAGCGAGTTCGAAGATCCCCAAAGGGTTTTTAACAGAGTATGTTGTTACTACGTTTGCTTTCTTTCATGGGTCTGTTCCGATTTCTTGCTTTCTGGTCTGAGATTCGCCATGTGAGAGAGCTTCTAAGGTGTTCTGTTTCTGAAACAGAAGAACACAAGTACTTTGTCGGCTTCTGCAACTCCCCATGGCAGTTACAACGCTACTGATCATGAGAATCAGAGCATGACGCCAGATTCCAGAGTATGTTAAATTCTTATTTCCTTCGTGTGAGATTTTGTTTAATCATTGTTCTGAAACGTTTTTTTTTTTTAAATAATTTTTTTGGTTTAGTGGTTATTTAATTAGTTTATTTTAGTTTTTGTGGGAGTTAGCACTATGAAAAGAAAGCTTTTGTTTACTGCCTCTATTTATTTTTTGGGATTCAACAGTTCGATTTTTTTTATAATTTTTTTAATGGAATTTCAGTTTAATATTCGTTTTCATATATATATATATATATATATATATCAACACAAATGTTTTTTTTTCTTATGATCTATTTTATTTTATTCTATATATTTTCATGGGTTTTAGTTGATGATTCGTATACCCAATTTTAATCATTGGCGACAAATATATAATATTCGCAATTTTTTCTTATATAATTGTGGAAACTAATATTTAAAGAATTATATTATTACATAGAGATTATGGTGAAAAAGATTTTGTATCGTCATATTTGACTTTTTTTTTCTAAATTAGAATTTAATCTTTTATAATCAAATATGTTATTTTTCAAAATTTAACTAGTTGTGGCAAATAAAAGTTCTATGTATTATCTAAATATATATTTCATTATACCACATTGTTTATATAAAACATTTACTTTGTTATAAGCTCATTCTAATATGCAAAGGATATACACAACATTTTGAAAATATGTGAGATTTTTATTTAGAATATAGAATCATATCCACAACATATAATTCATATAAAGTAATAAATTTTTTATAATTTTGTTGTTTATAAACAGAAAAAGAATAATTCCGAGAAAATAGAAGAAGACTTGGCCAAAGCAAGAGAAGCAATAAGGAGGGCAATTTCGGGACAAAACATCACAATTGAAACGGAAGAGAGTTTTGTCCCCAAAGGCTCCGTCTACAGAAATCCTGTGGCCTTTTATCAGTTAAGTTATAAAATCATTTTTTTTAATTTATGCTAAAAAATATCATTAGTTATTTTTTATATCTTAAAATTATTAATAATTACAATATAAAAAAACCATGAAAAACATTAGAAACTTCGCAAATATTTTCGCTATTTATATCAATCTTTACAAAATGTAGAGCTCAACATTGTTTTTAATTGCGTAATTGCTTAGCTTACTTATGTCTTTTTAAAATTTTAAAATATTAATTTAATCTGTCTAAAAATGTTATTTTTCAATTGATATGACATTAGAAATGTCGTTCACTATCTATCTCATCACTCACATTCATTTAGTTCTCCATAGAAGTAGACAAAATTAGACAAAAAAAAAAGTACTTGTATGAATTTTTTTTAGCATATTCAAAACAAATATAACATTATTAGTTAAAATCAGAAAATAAAAAAATATATTTTTTAAATATTTTTATAAAAAGAAGAACAATAATAAATTCTAAAAATATTTATCTGCTAATAAACTAACTCAAGAGAGCATTTTTTTTTCTCGTCCTGGAAAATCTCATAACTTCACAAGCATGCAGAGTTGAAAAATATTTCAATTATTTTTTTTTTGTTTTTTATATATTGGCTTGGTTCAGATCTTATCACCATTTTTATTCAATTTCAAACGTCGGTCTTCACACACGTCTCGTGAAATTTGTAATTATCCAAATTTATATTCAATTATTGATGGCCTCTATCTTATTTTATCATAAATATATTGTCATCTACAGTAACAAATGTCGTGACTTTCATTTAATCAAACACATTAATATATTGCAATTATTATGTCTAATCATTTCTTTTTTTTAAAAAATGATTTTTCTATATCAATGGACAAAGTTATTACAAATATACTATGAGTCATAGTACAAATCTCGTGACTTTAAATTAATCAAAACATTAATGTATTGTAATGATGTCTAATCACTTTTTAAAATGGGTATTCCCTATCAATACAGTATGAATTATATTAAAAAAAAACACTTCGTCATTTTCGATTAATAAAAAATATTAATATAATGTAATTATTTCTAATCGATTTTCTAAATGGGCATTCCATATCAATTGGTCACATTTTGTCCATATAAACGTATAAATGTATATGTGTCCAAATTTCTTTTTCTATAAATCTGTATATGCATGCATCCGCCTTACATCTGTCCCTTTCCAAATATTTTAAATGGACGATAGAGAAAAATTCAATGGTTTTATAATATTAATATTAAAAAACAAAGGTTTTTCGTGTTAATATTTTTTATGATTATTTTCCGGTTACTAATACTAACAGATTAAAGTTAGACAAGTGAAGATCGTATACTAGACTTTATATAAATATTAGATTATTGACAAAATTTTATTTTATTTCTCCCTATTTATGATTGAGAAAATAATTGCAAGATCTTTCATCAATATGAACCTTTTGCTAACTAGTTCAAAGTTTTTATATTTTGTTATATTTATATTTATATTTGATTTTCTTTTATATTTTGAGATATTTTCATTCAATAATTTTAGTTCACTCTACGTTTTTTTAGTAATTATCGTATCTAATATTTTTCTTTTCAAATTTCTATTAATATATTTTTATTCATATACAAGAATTTGATGTTTGTTTTTTTATTCATATTTTTAATTTTAATTGAAAAATTAAAATATGTATCTTTGTATAAACTCAGTGGGAATTTTAGAATGCATTGGGATTTACATAAATTAGTAGGTTAAGAGGAACATTGCTCCATTATTATCAAATATTTTTACTTTCAAATTTTGAAAATTAAAAATTACTCAACTAAGAAAAGTTTCATATTCAATCCAGAGATTTCATATATTCGAACTAAAATCTGGTTATATATATACACACATATATACGGATATGAAAATGTATTTATGTTGCTAATTTTGCTTACGAATTGACCTGTCTACCCCTCTCTTATTATCCAAATCCCCGAAATAACCACAGGAGCCACAAGGAGATGGTGAAACGCTTCAAAGTGTGGACGTACACTGAAGGAGAGCCACCACTCTTCCACGACGGCCC